TCCCACTTTCCCAGTTCTATCTGCATCAGTTTCAACTCCCCCTCTCGCCTTCGCGCCCCCTAGTGAGCAGCTCCTTCCTCTCCCACAGGCTTCAATTACCACGGTCGTTCTTAGTGTGCCCTATGCTGAGGATCTCGTTTCACGATGGTCTATCGTTTCAAGCAGCTCATAGGTGACTAGTCTTGTTCACCCATGTCATTCTTATCTGCATGTTCATGAGCTAATGCGCCATTGGGGTTGAAGGCATTTGTTGGTACTTGACGTATCAATCAAACTAATGATTCACATGTGTCCTCACGATGCTTGTCTTTATCGCAGCTAGCTATGTAACTCTGTCCAACATCGAGATAATTCCCCATGTAAGTCCAATTGTAAGTCTCGCTGGTCATTTGATCGTCGGACTAATTTCACAACAATGTCTCGTATGACATGCAGAAATTTGTAGCCTACCACGAGCTATTTCCTTCGGTAAGCCGGCTTTTGTAATTGCTGACGTATGGAAACTAATTTGATTACAATGTTTGAACCTAATGTGCAGGACTCAATATCCAGCGTCGCGCTACTTTGTTGTTGTAAGCATTGTCCTAATTGTTGGTGATTTCGACCTTGGATTAATTTCGAGATAACAAGTTATGAACGTAACGTGCAGGAATAATTTGCTTGTTGCATTATAAGTAAATCCAAACGAGGCATGCCCTAATTGTACTGAACCATGCCTGAAAGGGTACTGCAGCCTGCAAAAACGGATCCATAAAAAACACCGCCAAACGTTTGCAACAAATCATGCTGAATACTAAAAATGGTGAACATAAACTTCTCTATGCATTTACATGTTCACCGCAGAAGTTGTAGAAAGAACACCGCCATGCATTTGTAAACGAACCACGGAGATTACTGAAAAGACACCTCTAAGCATTCGCTGTCGTGAACCAAAAAGTGTTTCGGGAAATGTTGTCAAAGCATTCGCCAAGTGTTCTAATCTAAGTCCGCCAGGAATTTTCACCCACATGTTCGCAAAACGTTTGCAAGCATTTGTGCGAATGCTACGCAATCGTTTTGAGAGCATACGTTTTTTGCGATGTTGCCACCCCCCTCCATTCCCCCCATTTCATTGAATCTCCCCTACCTTGCTGAGTTCTCTTTATCTTGCTGAATCCCCCTGCCTTTCTGAATCACCCCTACCTTTATTAATCATCCCTACCTTGATGAATTCCAACTACATTGCTTAATCAAGCCTACCTTGCTGAATCACCCCCACCTTGCTTAATAATCCCTACCTTGCAGAATTCCCACGACCTTGTTTTCTCACTCCTACCTTGCTTAATGATCCCTACTTTGAATAATCACCGCTGTATTGCTTAATCACCCAAAAATTGCAGAATTCCCGATATCTTGCTGAATCTCCCCTTCCTTGCTGAGTTCTCTCTATCTTGGTGAATCCCCTCTTTCTTGCTGAATCACCCCTTCCTTGATTAATCAACCCAACCTTGTTGTCTTTCCCCTTTCTTGCTCAATCACCCCTACCTTTCTCAATCACCCCTACCTTTATTAATCAACCCTACCCTGCTTAATCAACCCTACCTTTTTGAGTCCCCCCTTCCTTGTTGAATTAACCCTACCTTGCTGAATTCTCCCTATCTTACATAATCCCCCCTACCTTGCTTAATTACCCTTACCTTGCTCAATTCTCACTATCTTGCTGAATCATCCCTGCATGCCTATCAAATTGTAGGCCTTGTTTCAAAGTGGGCAAGGAGATATTTCATTTGGAAGGTTTGCACTTGACCAATACTAGACCAAAGCCTAACCATGCTGAAACCTCGATTCTATATAATAAACAAAAGCTCCTAAGTTCCATAATTCGTGGGTTTTCAAAACGGTGTTCGACTCGTGAGCATGACTATCGAATTGTAGGACCTTATTCCAAGTCGGCAAAGAGGTATTACTTTTAGAAGTTTTGCACTTGACCCGTACTAAATCAAAGCCTAACCATGCTTGGACCTGGATTCTATATCAAAAAAAAAATATCCTCTGCCCTATATTCTTGGGTTTCCAAAAGGGCCTTCGACTCATGAGCATGACCATCAAATTGTAGGATCAGGTTCCAAGTGGGCAAGGAGATATTACTTTGAGAAGTTGTGCACTTGACCCATACTATACCAAAGCCTAACCATGCTGAGACCTGGATTCTATATCATGAACAAAAGCTCCTATGCCCCATATTCTTGGGTTTCCAAAAGGGCCTTCGACTCGTGAGCATGACCATCGAATTGTAGGACCAGTTTCCAAGTGGGCAAGAAGATATTACTTTGAGAAGTTTTGCACTTGACCTGTACTCGACCAAAGCCTAGGCATGCTGAGACCTGGATTCTATATCGTAAAAAAAAGCTCCTATGCCCCATATTCCTGGGTTCCTAGAAGGGCCTTCGACTCGTGAGCAAGCCCATCGAAATGTAGGACCTGATTCAAAGTGGGCAAGGAGATATTACTTCTAGAAGTTTTGCACTTCACCCATGCTAGACCAAAGCCTTACCATGCTGAGACCTGAATTCTATTTTAAAAAAGAAAAGCTCCTAAGTCCCATAATCTTGGGTTCTCAAAACAGCGTTTGACTCGTGAGCATGGCTATCGAATTGTAGGACCTGAGGGCGTGGCAAACCATTCACACGCCACTCTCAAGGGGTGGCAAAACACTATCACGCCACTCTGGGGGGTGGCAAACCACTCGCACCCCACTCGTGGGGGTGGCAAACAACTCGCACGCCACTTTGGTGGGTGGTAAACCACTCGCACGCCGCTCTTCTGGGGGGTGGCAAACCACTCGCACGCCACTTTCAAGGGGTGGAAAACCACTCGCACGCCACTCTGGGAGGTGGCAAACAACTCGCACGCCACTTTTGAGGGGTGGCAAACCACTCGCACGCCACCCGGTGGGGTGGCAAACCACTCCCAAGTAACTCTGGGGGGTGGCAAACCATTCGCACGCCACTCTCGGGGGGTGGCAAACCACTCACACGCCACTCTCAGGGGGTGGCAAACCACTCGCACGCCACACTCAAGGGGTAGCAAACCACTCGCACTCCACTCTGGTGGGTGGCAAACCACTAGCACGCCAATCGGGGGGGTGGCAAACCACTTGCATGCCTCTCTCGGGGGGTGGCAAACCACTCGCACGCCACTCTCAAGGGTTGGCAAACCACACGCATGCAACTCTGGAGGGTGGCAAACCAGTCGCACGCCACTCGGGGGGGTGGCAAACCACTCTCAAGCCTCTCTGAGGGGTGGCAAACCATTCGCACGCCACTCTCGGAGGGTGGCAAACCACTCCCACGCCACTCTCGGGGGTTGGCAAACCACTCGCACGCCACTCTGGGGGGTGGCAAACCACTCGCACGCAACTCTGGGGGGTGGCAAACCACTTCCAAGCCACACTTGGGGGTGGCAAACCATTCGCATGCCACTATCAGGGGGTGGCAAACCAATCGCACTCAACTCTGGGGGGTGGCAAACCACTCGCACGCCAATCGGGGGGGTGGCAAACCACTTGCATGCCAGCCTCGGGGGGTGGCAAACCACTCGCACGCCACTCTCAGGGGGTGGCAAACCACTCGCATGCCACTCGGGGGGGTGGCAAACCAGTTGCACGCCACTCCGGGGGGTGGCAAACCACTTGCAAGCCTCTCAGAGGGGTGGCAAACCCTTCGCACGCCACTCTCGGAGGGTGGCAAACCACTCCCACGCCACTCTCGGGGGGTGGCAAACCAGTTGCACGCCACTCGGGGGGGTGGCAAACCACTTGCAAGCCTCTCAGAGGGGTGGCAAACCATTCGCACGCCACTCTCGGAGGGTGGCAAACCACTCCCACGCCACTCTCGGGGGGTGGCAAACCAGTTGCACGCCACTCGGGGGGGTGGCAAACCACTTGCAAGCCTCTCAGAGGGGTGGCAAACCATTCGCACGCCACTCTCGGAGGGTGGCAAACCACTCCCACGCCACTCTCGGGGGTTGGCAAACCACTCGCACGCCACTCTGGGGGGTGGCAAACCACTCGCACGCCACTTTGGGAGGTGGCAAACCACTCCCAAGCAACTCTTGGGGGTGGCAAACCATTTGCATGCCACTATCAGGGGGTGGCAAACCACTCACGCACCACTCTCGGAGGGTGGCAAACCACTCGCACGCCACTCAGGGGGGTGGCAAACCACTCGCACGCCAATAGGGGGCGGTGGCAAACCACTTGCATGCCAACCTCGGTGGGTGGCAAACCACTCGCACGCCACTCTCACGGGGTGGCAAACCAATCGCATGCCACTCTGGGGGGTGGCAAACCACTCGCACGCCAGTCAGGGGGGTGGGAAACCACTCGCACGCCACTCACATGGAGTGGCAAACTGTTAGGATTAAGGACGAAGTCTAGGTGAACTTAGGAGCTAGAATTACTCAAAATATAAATCCGAAATTCTGGACAGAAAAGTCGTCTTCACAAGAAACGACGTCGACAAACAACTAGCCGTTGGAATGTCGCGAAACTCGGATATGTTGTAGATCTTAATCTCAGCTACCGTTCCCAATTTGAATCATGTTGATTGATGAAGTATTCGCGACGCTATGGCTTTCGATGCACTAGGGGGTAAGCTGTAGGAGGAGAACTTAACTCAATCTCAAGAGTTCAATCAAAGTTCAAGAATCTCACAAGGAAAAATTAGAGGAGCAAGAGAAAGGTTGGGATAGAAAGAGAGGGACGAGAGGGAAGGTCCCAAGAGAGTCCCCAACCAAGGAAACCCCATAAGCACAAAGATTCCCTCCCTATAGGAACCCCAATTTTGACATTTGTCCCTTCCCAACCAATCCATCCAAGTTGGCCACCCTTGCCAACCTAGCTTGGTTGTTCCCAACCAATTTGCAGCTGTTACAGTAGAGTGACAAATTTCCCCAACCCCCAAAGGTCCCAACTCCATATAAAGTCACCCCACAACTTCACTTTGTAACCGCCGCAATTGTAACGCAAGCTCATGAACTTTGAATCTTCATAGCTTTCGCGTTCTTGCTCCGATTGAAGCGATTCTTGTTGCCTCAGAAAGATCTTCTCAAGATCTATCATCGCAAATACCTGCTCAAACAGAATAACACAAAACACATTCCCAAACTCCAGAACACACCACACAAATTCTTTCACACACAGTCAAACCATACATGCGAATTGAAACAAGGGATGGGAGGAAGACAGAATGTGATAGCATATGATAACATCACACAACAATCTCCCCCTCTGGCTGCCAACCATCATCCACCATACCAACATCTCAAGCATGCATACTCAATGCACACTCATCCCAGCAAGCTTCATGCCCTTCCAATGATCCGCCTCCGCCAGACGCTTGGTGAAAATATCTGCTGCCTGCTGATGTGTCTTCACTATCTCCAGCCGCACCTCCTTATCAAGGAGTCTCCTCACCCAATGCCACTTAGGCCTTATGTGTTTTGTCAGCCCATGCAGACAAGCATTCTTGGCGAGCTTCACAGCGGACTCATTGTCACAAAACACAACTGTCGGCTTCTCCTGACCAACTCCCAACTCCTCCAACAAACGCCTTAGCCACACTACTTCCTTGGCCCCATGGTGTAAGGCCATGTACTCAGTCTCACATGAGGACAATCCCACCTCATTCTGCTTCTTGCTGCGCCAGCTCACAGCACCACCTCCTAGCAAGCACACATAACCCACAATGCTGGTGCCATCCGCTTTCACTGAGTTGAAGCTAGCGTCAGTATAGCAACTCAAGAGCATCTCTCCACTCTTCACATCTGCAGCACCTCTCTGCAACCGCTGCCTCACTCCACTGTACTCCAATCCCACTGATGCCGTAGCACTCACATAGCGGACCAACCTCTTGGCCGCTTCCAGCTGCTCATGACTAGGGCGTGAGACCACACTAGCCAACCGTGATGTAGAAAATGCAATGTCAGGCCGTGTATGATTTGCAGCATAATTCAGCGACCCAACCATCGAATGAAACAGCTTCCTGTCACTCTCACCCACTACCTCCTCATCAGCACATGGCTCTACAGTAAACCCTGAAGGTAGTGGTGTTGCTGGCTTTCCCCCATCTTGCAGCCCATACTTCTCAGCCAGCCCCTCACAGTACTTCCTCTGGTGCAACCTCAGCACACCCTTTTCCACATCTCTCTCCACGTGCATCCCCAAGTAGTACTTCACCTCACCCATCTTGGAGCACTTGAACTGCATCTCCAGCATCTGCTCTGCGCTGTCCAGCAAAGCAGTGGATGCAGAAAAGAGAAGGATATCATCCACATACACCAAGAGCATGAGGATTTCATCCTTCTCCTGCAGCAGGAACAGGCTGGGGTCACACTCACTCTTCTTGAAACCCCCAGCCAACAGCGCCTCCTCCAACTTGTGATACCATGCACGAGGCGCCTGCTTAAGGCCATAGATGGCCTTCTTCAGCCGCAGACCCTGCCGCTCCCGTCATCCAGCCCCTCTGGCTGCTTCATGTACACCTCCTCCATAATGATCCCATTCAGAAAGGCAGTCACAATATCCATCTGCCGAATCTTCCATCCCAGGAGTGCAGCTATCGCCAACAGCACCCTCAGTGTTGTTCCTTTCCCCACAGGAGCAAACACCTCATCATAGTCCTTCCCCTTTGTCTGCTGAAACCCCCGTGCCACAAGCCTAGACTTGTAGCGGGTCAGCTCCCCTTCAGGTCCATACTTGTGCCTGTAGATCATCTTGGAAGTGATTGCCTTCTTTCCAGGAGGCAAGTCACACAGGTCCCATGTCTCGTTCTCAATTAGGGACCCGAACTCCTCATCCTCACTCGCCTTCCACTTCTCCCCATTTGGTCCATTCAAAGCCTCCTCTCGAGTCTTGGGCTCAGGGATTGGTGCCCAGTAGCAGTGAGCGATCTCATCTTCCTCAATCTGCTCAACCACACTCCCAGCCTGCACCACATTCGGCTTGCCTCTTCCCCCATAGGTTAGCCTCACCGGAGGGCGCACATCCCTCCTAGGTCGCTCAGGCGGGTGTGGAACTCGAGGTGGAGACTCATGCTGCTGCTGCTGCTCCTGCTGCTGCTGCTGCTCCACTTCAGCTGCTCCCCCTTCCTCAGTCACCCCAGACATCTCCTCCTCTGACACTGCAACCTCCACCTGTCTTGAAGGCTGCTGCACCTCATCTGCCTCCACAATGAGCGGTGTAGATGGAAGCTTCTGTTGCTGCTGCTTCCATTCCTTGTAGTACAGGGACTCAAGAAACTTCACATCCCTTGACACTGTCAACTTCTGGGTGGTCAAGTCCCATAGCAGCCACCCCTTGTGATCCTTTGCAATCCCCAAGTGCACACCCCATCTTCTAGAAGCCTCCAACTTCCCCCTTTTCTCCTTAGGCACATGAAACACCACCATGCACCCAAATGCCCTCAGCATGTTCACAGCTGGAGCACTCCCATACCACTTGGTATATGGGATCCACTCCTTATCTCCAACTGTAGCCAGCACCCTGTTCTTCACAAGGGCGACCTGCCTCAGTGCAGACACCCAAAACGGATCAGGCAGCCCTGCACGCCCAAGGAGAGTGCGTGCCCCCTCCTGCAGGGTCCTGTTGAACCTCTCAGCCACGCCATTCTGCTGCGGGTTGTAGGGCACTGTCAGTTGATGTTGGATCCCCTTCCTCTTCAACTCCCCCTCAAAATCAGCTCCAATGAACTCCCCACCATTGTCACTGCGGATCACCTTCACCTTGTGTCCGCATTCCCTCTGAGCTCTAGGCATCCACTCCTTAAGGACAGCCGCTGCCACCTCCCCCTTGCTCTTCAAAGGGTAAACCCACACTGCCCGAGTGTGGTCATCCACAATTGTCAAGAAATAGCGGCTGCCTGAGAGGGAAGGGGCTCTTGTGGGTCCCACCACATCCATGTGCACAAGTGCAAGTGGGGTCTTGGCTGGTCCTGTAGTGCTGTTGAAGGGGAACTTGGAGAACTTGGTCTCCAAGCATGTAGGGCAGCCTCCAATCTCCTTCACTCCCCCTTTCACCTCCAAGCCCTTCAGGCTCCCATCCTTCACCAACTTCTGCAGCATAGGGAAGTTCACATGACACAGCCTCTCATGCCATGTCTCCCAATCGGCCTCTCCACTCCTTGATGAAGCCTTAGCCCATGCCGCACTCGCATCCACACCAGCAAGCACCTCACCATGTGTCTGCTGCTGCTGCACTTTCTTGACTGCTTCCAGGACCCCATCAGTTGGTGCAGTTGCATCTCCTCCTGCTGTTGCCTTTGCCGCTGCTGCCGTTGCTGCTGTTGGAGTCTTCCCATTCCATGGGATGATGGGCAGCTGCCACAGGTCCTTGATGCAGCTGGTCTCCTCTTCCAGACTCCACAGCACCTTCTTCCCAAGCTTAGCACGGCAGCTGGTTCGTCCAAAGGTCACTTCGGCCTTGCTCTTCTGCAGTCGTCGCACAGAGAGAAGGTTAGCAGACAAGCCTTCAACCAGCAGAACATTCCCAAGCCCCACAAGCTCCCCATAAGCTCCCTTAACCTTGGCATTTCCAACACCAATGACAGGGAGCAAAGCACCTGACGCTGCTGCCACATACTTGATCTTCCCAGGGGGTTTTACCTCATCAAGCAAATCTGCCCGTGGGGTCATGTGACTGGTGCAACCCGAATCAATCACCCAGTGCGTGAGAGGGTGCATCACAACCTTTCCCACAGATCCCACATCACCCTCATGCCCATGCACATCCTCAACCATGAGAAACATCCCAGGATAGGTATTACCTTGTGCACCTTCACCTTGTGCACCTGAGCCTTGCACAGCGCCACCTTGTGCGCGTTCACCACTGGGCGGCTTCATGCCTGGAGGTGCCCATCCCTCCGGCCTGCTGAAGCACTTAAACCAAGGATGCCCGACCTTCTTGCAGTACCAGCAGGTGCCCTCCATTCTGGTACTCCCCTTGCCACTAGAGCTCCCATGCCCCTCATTATAGTCACCTCGGCCACTACCTCTGCCAAAGCTCCTCCCACGGCCTCGGCCTCTCCAACCCCCTCTTCCTCTGCCGCGCCCTGCAGCTCCATACCCCTCAGCAGTCTTAGTGGAAGCACCACCTCCCACATGGCGTCTGCGGAAGTCCTCCTGCAGAATCTGCTGCCTTAGCCACTCAGGTGTCCATTGATCTTGCTGAGAGTTGAGGGTGGGGATGAGGTTGTCCCACGAGTTATCCAACACCGAGATGATCTTGGTGCACTGCTGCAGCTGAGAAACGCTGCTGCCCGCTGCTGCCATCCTTGCATAGGTGTCCTTGATCTTGTCAAGGATCAGCTTCACATCATCCCCTGGTCGCATGGAGATTGCAGCAAGTTCCTTCTCGAGCACGATCACCATCGGAAGAGTGTTGGGCTGAATCACATCGCGTAGTAGTTTCCACGCCCTTGGACCCGAATCATCCGCTTCCACAAGATCCTTGATGTGCTCGAACATCTCATTGTTGACCGATTGAAGGATGAGGTCGAAAAGCACCGTGCTTTTCTCAATCCACCGTTCGCGTTCTTCGCCTTCTTCCGGCATCTTCTCCTCCCCAACAGCAATCTTCAGTAGCTTGTAGCGTTTGAAGGCACTCCTCATGCGCCCGCTCCATTCCTCATAGTTGGAGCCATCCAAAGCTTCAACTTTTGATGGTGGCGGCTCACTTGTCTTCTCAGGTACAGCTCCTCTTCCATTAGCATCTCCTCCTCTCTCATTCATCTTCTCCTTGAGAAATGACGAATTTCAGCTCCCCCTTTGCTGTCCAGACTCAGCTCCCTCGATATTTTCACAAGTGTCGGCGTCCACGAAATTTCGGCAGAGTTTCCCCTTAGCGGAAGTCACATCCAACCTTTAGAACACCACTTAGGCACGCCCACAGGCCATGGTGGGTCTAGAAGGGTCTTCACACTTCTGTAGACTCCTCTCAATGTCCTCAATATGGCTCTGATACCACTTGTTAGGATTAAGGACGAAGTCTAGGTGAACTTAGGAGCTAGAATTACTCAAAATATAAATCCGAAATTCTGGACAGAAAAGTCGTCCTCACAAGAAACGACGTCGACAAAAAACTAGCCGTTGGAATGTCGTGAAACTCGGATATGTTGTAGATCGTAAGCTCAGCTACCGTTCCCAAATTGAATCATGTTGATTGATGAAGTATTCGCGACGCTATGGCTTTCGACGCACTAGGGGGTAAGCTGTAGGAGGAGAACTTAACTCAATCTCAAGAGTTCAATCAAAGTTCAAGAATCTCTCAAGGAAAAATTAGAGGAGCAAGAGAAAGGTTGGGATAGAAAGAGAGGGATGAGAGGGAAGGTCCCAAGAGAGTCCCCAACCAAGGAAACCCCATAAGCACAAAGATTCCCTCCCTATAGGAACCCCAATTTTGACATTTGTCCCTTCCCAACCAATCCATCCAAGTTGGCCACCCTTGCCAACCTAGCTTGGTTGTTCCCAACCAATTTGCAGCTGTTACAGTAGAGTGACAAATTTCCCCAACCCCCAAAGGTCCCAACTCCATATAAAGTCACCCCACAACTTCACTTTGTAACCGCCGCAATTGTAACGCAAGCTCATGAACTTTGAATCTTCATAGCTTTCGCGTTCTTGCTCCGATTGAATCGATTCTTGTTGCGTCGGAAAGATCTTCTCAAGATCTATCATCACAAATACCTGCTCAGACAGAATAACACAAAACACATTCCCAAACTCCAGAACACACCACACAAATTCTTTCACACACAGTCAAACCATACATGCGAATTGAAACAAGGGATGGGAGGCAGACAGAATGTGATAGCATATGATGACATCACACAACACAAACCACTCGCACACCACTCGAGGGGGTGGCAAACCACTCCCAAGCCAGTCTCGTGGTTGGCAAACCATTCGCACGCCACTCTTGAGGGGTGGCAAACCACTCACACGCCACTCTGAGGAGTGGCAAACCACTCGCACCCCACTCGTGGGGGTGGCAAACAACTCGCACGCCACTTTGGTGGGTGGCAAACCACTCGCACGCCACTCTTCTGGGGGGTGGCTAACAACTTGCACGCCACTCTTTGGGGGTGGAAAACCACTCGCATGCCACTCTCGGGGGGTGGCAAACTACTCGCACGCCACTCTGGAGGGGTGGCAAACCTCTCACACGCCACT